GTAGTAAATGTGGACACTATTTCCACAATATCTACAAAATAATAAAATTGATTTACCATCAGCTTTATTTGTGGACAAAATGTGTGCGACAGTGTATTTGTGCAGTAATTTGAGCAGGTAGCAATAGAAGAAACATGTACTTTGTGATTCAGTGATGGCACACAAAATACATTTATAATTAATTTTACCTGATGCTGTTTTCACAGGAGTTACAGGAGTGGAGGCATGAGGCCTGCTAACAGTCAAACCTGGTGATTAAAAACAAAATCAACTTGAAAAATATTGTGTAGAAGTAATATGGGATGATGTTCTATATTGCTGTCCAGATGTATAGCATGTCCTACCTGTGGTTGTGGAGAACACTGTTTTTGTGGGTGACTCTCTTTCCACAATATCTACAGAGAAAGGAAATAGATTTGTACCTGTCAATTTTATGGATGTAAAGATGAATTAACATTCATGCTATTTCTGTTACTGTCCCTTCAACACAAAAATATTCAATACTAATAACCAGAGAATATTTAGTCTGTTTTTATAGGTCTAGTGATGGAAATATCACTTGATCAGTCAATCCACCACTTCGGTTCAGACTGAAATTTTTGGTGCATTCATTGGCGTGAAATTCAGTTGCAATTTACTTGCAATTCACTTGAAAAAATTCATTCATTTCAGAGTAAGTGTTGTGCTGTGTCACATACAGCGTAGAAGTCATTTCCGTGTTAGAAGTCAATGTATTGTAGTTCACAGTATGTACACAGGATGTCACCTTCCATGGATTTGGACATGATATAAGTAGGAAGTGGCCGTGTGTGAACAAATGAAAATCCTTGAGCTGCGAGCAACAAATATATCACATAAAACCAGAAGAAGAAATAATTGGACTACACTTATTTCACTAGACACGTAGTAATGCTATGTGGTGGTGGATGCATCATTTACGAACCCAACAGTGCAGCCTCTCCATGACTTTAAGTTTATGGTTAGACTCTACATAAAGTCAATCTGCTATGTGAATCCATGTCATCTCTGACTTACCAGTCAAGTTTTTTACATCACTACGAGGAGACAAAGAGTTGCGTTCACTTCCCAAACTGTAATCACAACTGGCATCCTTTTGTTGAACAAAATGCATGTGTCTCAGGAAATCATCTGTTTTGACAGTAAACTGGCAGAACCACTGTTTAGGTGAGGATTTTGTCCTCCAGAGAGTTGTAGTTAGGACTGGACGAGTTGTTTCTCCAAAGTACAGGTTACAGCTTGTTGTATCATTAGCAGATCCAGGCAGTGAGCAAGTGAAGAGAAAATGGTCACCATCAAAATATGTAAGACTTATCTCTGGTTTTTGACCTGCAAAAGAAACAATGAAAAATTGTTTAAAGAAAATGTGCCATTCTGCTAACAAGTACACTGCATGTTGTAGCACCGTAAGAATAATTTTAAACAATGCTCACAATCACATAAGTCCTAAAGTCCAACCTCAGTCATCATGTTTTACTGTAAATGTTCTGAGGTGAGAGTGACTTACAGTACAATAAGAGTCATTACTCAAAATAAAGCAGAATCTGACAACAAAATCAAATTAACAGCTCATACCACAGACATTTTATTGGGAAAAGAAGTTGTTGAATCATCTTTCTCTTTTTTTCTGTCAGTTATTAATACCTGAAACTTGTCAGTGACTGCAGACAAGAGAAACCGAGAATGTTTCTTCCCCCACAGTGTAGAAAAAATACTGACACAAAAACAGATAATGGAGTCTGACAGTTGAAAGTGGCCGAGTGTGTCTCTGTGATCACCAGTGGATTCACTCAGTTAAGGTAAAAGGTGTCATGAAAATTTTGAGGAAAACATTTGTTATATCAAATTCTTAATACTTGCCATAATGTCATAATATTTCTAATGGAAACTTGTTATTTAGAGAAAGTAAAGAAAATTATACTGTACAACAAAATTGAAAGTGGACAAATTGCTAACAGACTATAATAAACTGAAAACAGCAAAGCATAGCAAAGGTGATCGATCAGACTGACCTTGAACTTGAATCTGATGAAAGGAGCCAGTTGGAAATACGATGCGTTAACAAGGTAAATAGACATCTCAGTGATAACTTCAAAAAAAGGAAGATTAAAACTCCACACAATGTGCAATTCTGTCAGAGGTAGGAGTCAAGCTCAAGGTTGCACAGAGCAAAAACACAGGCAGTGAGATAACATAAGATTTCAAACCATAACCTAGAATTGCCACCTTGCACAAAATATAGTCACAATGTCCCTTTCCTGAGTTACAGTGTTGAACAATGGTCAGAAGTGTTTTCATGATGTCACAGTTAAGTTGACATTTGTATATGAAATATCATCACTCCATAATTTTATCCTATTAGACATTTGTGTTAAATTGGGTTATAATTAGCACATGAATATGAGAGTTATGGCCAAAAATGGTCACCAAGACCTTGACTTTCACCCTTTCATCAGCAAATTCTAATCAGTTCATCCTTAAGTCCAAGTGAATGTTTGTGCCGAATTTGAAGCAATCCCCTCAAGGTGTTACTGAGATATTGCATTCACGAGAATTTGACACCCTAGGAAATTACTGCCTGCGGCGCTGGCTGTTGGCAGCATGGAAGCATAAAAAGATCAAATGTAAGAGTCGTGTGATATGTTATGCTGACGCATAATGAATGAAATTACAAATTGCAGTGTGAACCTGCATTTGTTTATAATACTTGACATCAGTGGTTCTCCAAGTTTTTCACATCAAGGAACCCCTAAACTGACAAATTAGACCACAGATAGCCATTTAATATGGTTTTGTCCCAGGGTCCCCATCTGATAAGATTTTTAGTTTTAGACGTTTTATTACAGAAAGTGTTTGAAACTCCTGACCAAAATAGTTACTTATGGATGGAATTATGTTAAAATAATTTATTCCCTTTTGTTGGGGACCAACAGGAACCCCATCAAGGACCCCTGCACCCCACTTTGAGAACCACTGCCCTACATTAATTACAAAATGTATAGGAGGTTTAACTTACACATTAGAATGACAAACAGGCGTCCAGCCATGATGAAGCTGAATATTGAGACTGTCCAAGATCCTTCAAAGATAGTTGTGTGACTGACTACACTGGCACAAGGGCCAGTTTGCAGAACAGGAAAACCACAGCAAGCATCAGAAGTGAATCACAGAGATACACACACACACACACACACACACACACACACACACACACACACACACACACACACACACACACACGCACACCACGACTGATAAAGTTATAGATAACCAAAAGCAGGTATGAAAACAGTGCAACAGGAAGAAACACCTCAAAGCAGCTCAAAGACAGGCATCCAGATCTGTACACAGAATTCAGGACCAGTGAGTTTCAATTAACTTTATAAGTCATCAAAATGTTCATGTCCTGAAATGTTATTATTATTCTCGGAGAATTGTGACAGCAGTTTAAACTACTTCTTGCACACTGACTATATGGAGGTGTGCATGTGTGTGCATGTGTGTTAGCACACTGTGTGGGCAGCAGCCTCTGTTGTCCGTTTTTTGTTGTGGTATTGAATTTGGTTTTCAATGGTATTCGTACCAACTACCAAATTTCTGGTATCATGACACATACACAGAGCACACAAACACATGCAAACACTTTTACTACTCGCCGCTGTGTCAGCTGCCTCCAACAGAGAGAGCACGTCTTTAACTGTCACACAACAACACACACCTGGGATTGATATAACATTCACATGAGGGTTGTGAAGTGCCTAATGATTTGTGCAAATATCTAAGTAGTTTCAATACCTATAACCTAATCTATACAGTAGCAATATTATACCATTGTTGTTGAAGGAGTTAGAAGTCACACAGTGTTTTCAAGCCACAATATGTAGAGATCTGTACAATCATAGCATCCTAGAAATCATTCTGGAGGTGTACTTTTTTGTTTGTAGCAAAATGAGAGAATTTCTGTGAAAATAGGTGCAGTCCATGTGGATTTCAGGCCTTCATTCAGTTTGCCCAGGTTGTGTCATGGAGGAGAGAGTTGCTATCTGCCAGTGTCTTTTTTGGTGCCCTCACTGGGGAGTTTAATATTCAAGTTTAATATTTTCAAGTTGTACACATAGTGGATTTTACTGAAAGATGTAACTGCTGGGAGGGATGTTACAGGTCATAGAGGTTAGTAGTCCCCTTACATCAGTGTTTTCCAATCAAGACTGCCTTAAAATTATATTCAGGCGCACATGTGTACACTGAAACTGTTTTTATTTATTCCTCCTGTTCATACTGCCCATTAAAAGGTCCCTTCCTTATATGTTTCCACTGAGATTGATGGGCGACAAAATCCATAGTTCTGTGTAAAAATACATTCAAATCCGAGTTGGAAAAATCAGGTAGAAATCTTCCAAAGTTACTGTCTTTTTAGTCTGAAATTCCCTCTAACCTCAATATTTGTAAAACTAAAACAGCCACGAGTTTGTTTGTTTTTTCCTTCTATAACCTATTCAGCTCCTCCTTTTCGTTTTTGGGAACTTTATCCATTTAATTTGTATTTCCGTTTCGTTCTGTCATCTTTCCATTATTTCCCTCCTGACATAATGGACGCATCCACTTGAAGAGGTGGGGGAGGTGACAACGGTCCTGCACCTGTCTTGTTACCTGATAAGAACAGGAAAGCTGGGTGGTTTAGTTTGTGCACCTTCCTTCAGCTTGGTTATTTTTAAACCACCGGTTCACACGGTAAAAGGTAACTAATGCCAGAAAAGTAGCAGCAGAAGTCGGATGCAGTCTTCCGCCATGATCCCCTGATGGCTTTAATTTACAACCCCTAATCAATTGCACCTGGTGTGATGTGATTCACCTGCTCTCAGTTTAGTGGAAGCAACTGCATAAAGACGGAGACAGGGCAAGAAGTGCATGTGGCGCATTTTTTGACTTTAGAGAGCCTGCTTTGTGTGTGGTGTTTGTTTTTTAATATTATATTCTCAGTAATGCCTCCTAAAAAGCAAGCAGCGGACTCTGCTGATCCGACTGTGTCATCCTCCAAAGATGCCCCAGTAGAAGAGAAAGCTGAGTCAAAATCAGGTCTGTGCGCAAACGCCGATAAATCGGAGAGAAGTTAATATTGAAACTGTCCCAGTTTCCAAAGCCGTTGCGTGTTCAAAATGTGTATATTGTTTGTTCCCTAGATGCTGCGGCCCTGCGCAAACTGGCAGCTCATCCATCCACAGCCATTATGGTGAAAGAGGCGCTTAAAGAGTTGGACTCACGCAAAGGGGTTTCATCCCAAGCGATACAGAATTATATTAAACAAAAATACCCCTCGGTGGATTTGGTTAGGTTGAAGCACTTGGTTCGTAGAGCCCTGAAAAAAGGAATCGAGAATGGCACGCTGGTGCGGCCTGCCAACTCCAGTGTCACTACAGGCGCGATGGGAAAATTTAGGGTAAGATATCAAATCTACAGCTCCACCTAAGGGGGTCGAATAACGTCATTAATCTGGCCTATTTTGTTTTGTCTTAAGCTTGCACCGAAAGTCAAGGAGCCAAAGCTCAAAACTGAGAACACAGATCCTAATGTGCAAAAAGCTCCAAAAGAAGCCAAGGATGGAGCCAAGAAGCCCTCAAATGCAGGTAAGAATAAAATGGTAAAATTGACCCAAACGGTAATTTAGGCCAATCTTACAGGTGTCTGTTTTAATTGCTTGCAAATTCCTAAAGGTGCCAAAAAGAAGAGAGATGCGGTTAAGGAACAGGCCAATTCACAGGAGGTGAGAATATTTGTATGCTTGGAGACTGGGGGGGGGTCAAGGGTTCATGTCCTCTGTATTTATCTGAGTTGCATTGTTTGTTTTTTGGGGGGGGGGTTTTCCTTTTGTAGGACTTAAAGCCTTCCAAAAAGTCAAAGAAAAATGATGAGGCTGCTACCTCAAAGGCTGCTCCAGCAAAGAAGCCAAAAGCTAAAAAAGCTGCAGAGAAGGGGGATGACGAGGGAGACTCTGCTTCAACCAAAACAAAGGCACCAAAGGCAGCCAAGTCCACTGAAAAGGCAAAGGCAGGAAAACCATCCGCGAGCAAGGCTGCTAAAGCAGGCAGTAATGCCCCTGCCTCTAAAGCAACTGGGAAACGAGGGAAGAAAACTGGAGAGTAAATTTAGTTGACTGATGTTTGTTTTTTGTTTTTTATACTGTTGCAATAAAATCTTAACTTTCTGAGCTTGTGTGCTTTTTAAACTTTTGACATTTGGAGCATGATGCTGTGTATGTCTTTATTCTGCTCGTTTCAGGACGTACAATATTGCTGCTTCAAATACAACTGGTGGGCCAACAGTTAGTCACAGTGGACACAAACACCAAAAGGACTGACACAACAGCCAGCAGCACACCGATACATTTTCATGAAGAGTCCACACTGTGGCATTCTCCCAACACTCCAGCTGTGGTTGCTGCAGCGCCATCTTGACAGGCCTCCAGCACCTCCTACAGGTCAGACAAAACTTGAAAGTCACTGCTAATCTAAGGAGTTGCATACCGGTAAGGAGCACCACTTGAGTGAGTTGTATCCTGTTTCTATAGCAGATATTTGGACTTGTCATAGCTGTGACAAAATTGAACTGCCCTAAGGGAAAAAAGGTGCTGGGCTCCTGTTAACCACCCTGACAGCCCCACTCACTGCAATATGTACAGATCTTCTACAGTACTAAGTACTCCCTGGCCTGATATGCTTTGTGGTGAATTGATTTTAAGTTTAGGAATATGCAACATTTAACACCTACATTATTTTAAAACTTAAGTAAAATAGACATGACAGATATGTTTATTGCTATGACTTGTCAAAATGTCTGCTGTAAAAATAGTTTATTCTAGTGAGACTTTCATGAATATCTGTTGCTCTTTCGTAAGACTGATTAGCAGTCTTTTCCTCCATGCTGGCTAGTTCCTCTTTCAAGTTCAAAATTTAATTCTGGTGCAGTTCCCAAATGTTACATGCTTCTTTAAAACCAACTACCAATGAGAAGAGGAATGATGCAGTTAGCATGTGCTTACTGGATTAAAGTACTCTGTGGTTTGAACGTTTTCAAAGCCTTCATGCTGACCTTGTTTTTCCTGAGTGCTCTCAAGCATCAAAACCTGAGGACTGGGCATGATTGGGCGTATCGTCCTTGGAGTTACAGGGGTGTCCAGGTGCTCCTGCAATAGTATTAGGACAGTCATGCTCAAATGAATTTTGTACACAATATATAAAAACATTAAAAACAAACTGAGATCAGAGTTCTGCTTAAAGGTGAGAATCTCTCCATAAAACCTTTAGTCTGGTTCGAGATTAAAATCTCAACCCCTTTTATCCAGTGTTTCTATCTGAATTGCATCATTCATCATTTATTTAATAAAATGTAAAAAAAAATAACGTGGCCCTTTGTGCATATAATGGTATGAACAAAAATGCTGCTTGTTCCCACACCAAAAATACTGAAGGTACAAGGAAAGCACACTGCTTGGCTCCAAAAACTTTAGGTCTGATGATTGCTGTTACCTTGATGTAAAATGTTTGAGGCTTTGAGCATTCACCTCCAAATATGTTTGTAAAGATTTAACTAAAGATGTGCAATCAAAATAAAAATCTGCATGACCAAATATCTTTAGAATTAATTGAGATGATAAAGTTTTTGTGGTTGTATTGCTAGCTAACTAGATAGCACTTACCTGGCTTCAACTTAGCCACTTGAATTCAAGTCAAGTCGATTTTCACTTAGCATTAATGAATAAAGCTATTTATCCAAATGGTTTAATTCTGCATACAATACTGTTATGAGTGTGCTCGACATTCAATTTATAATTAATCCCTTGAACAGCAACACAACCCTTAACGTTTAAGTCAAAAGCACAAATTGTCCAAGGTATCAAGGACTTTGCCTTCACAGGACGATGCTGCTCTAGAGACAGATCCTCAGTACATGATATATAATGGTGGGGGTGCTGTTGTATTGATGATAAATATAATAAAACTTTCTGAGGTGTTTTGGTTCCTCAGCGTATCCTCAGTAACATAAATGGAGTAGATGACATAACAGAAACACCTGTCCGTATACTGCAACACAGTTCAGCATCATAAACTGCAGCTTCCAAAATGATAGCTGAATAAACACCTGTCTAAAACAGTTTTAGCTATGTGTACCTAATAAACTGCCAACTGAGTGTAAGTTGTAAGCGTTTTTGTGGATGGATTCTTTCACCATTGTAATGAGAAATATTACTACTACTACTACTGGCCAACAAGTGTACCAAAACGACCCCAACAAGAGTTTTTTTTGTAATGTATTGTCACATCTTTTGCATTGCAGACAAATATGTTAGAAATTTCACCTTTTAAAACAGCAAATTTATTTGTTTTTAAAAAATAAAAAAAATCAACTAAAAAGTATTACTATTTCATTGTCACTAACAGAAACAGTACGGAAGCACTGAGTCTTTGAGCACTTTAACCGCTCTTCAAGTATGTTAATTCAGTTCATAGATTATTCTTCTGCAGTGGAAAAGCCACCAGGACAGTAGGATCCAGTTGGCCCAGAGGTCAGGGTCACAACTCCAAACTAAATGTTCTTGATAGTAATATCCTGGTTGTGGCAGAACCAGTGTTATTGACTTCACATATCCAAAAGAAACAAGTCAAGAACCCACTACTATTTGATACAGTGACAAGTCTGATTCCAGAGCAATGTAGCTGATGTGCAAGCACCCCATTCTTCAGAGTGTAGTGAGCCAGAAGAGGGAGAGTTGGTCACACAAAATGAAATTTGATAAGACTGAGAAAAAGGGGAAGGAAAGGGCAGACTGAAAAAACAGAAAGGCAAGACCAGAAGAGAGAGAACTTACAAAAAGAGAACATGGATAACTAAATTAGCAGATCACTGTCAGCTCATTACAGTTGACAGAAAATTAAATTACAACACCTGTATTAAAAATAGCAGTGACTTCAAAACAATACCACTTGGATCAGCTTAAAAGTAATAAAAACTCTGAATTACAATTTCTTCTGTGGGGAAACAATACAAAGTTTTCCACATGTAAACAAATTCACTCAGAAGAGAGAAATCACGTGTGCAGTTCTCTCAGCCCCTCCTTCAGCTATGCCCCACTCACCCTTGCAGTATGTGTTTGTGCCACAACTGCACCAAAGATAGAAAGTTGATACCAAATACCCAACCCTTTCTCCCCTTATTCTCTTCTTCTCAAAAACACATCTCACAAAGTGATAAAGTGACAAACCTCTGATGCAATCCTCCTAAGTGTTTCGAGAATTTGCAGAAGAAGAAGAAGAAAAGGTAGGACTATTTAGATTCAACTCCCTGTATGGGTCACCCTTAACACATCAGCCCCAAACCCTCTGTCCCTTCATTTAAATAAGACTCTCCAAGCCGGTCATCTTGGATGCAGAAGAAAGCGATGCAGATACTCTGAAATGGCATCCCAGTGCCTCCAGAGGAAGGCAAGGAGGATTACAAGGAGCAGCGTAGAAAGCGTGCGACTGCGTGTTTTCATTAATGGGACGACACAGTTCGCCACCGTGGACACAAACACCAAAAGGACTGCCATAACAGCTAGCAGCACATTGATTAGTTTTCCAAGAAGAGTCCGCGCTGTAGCATTCTCCAAACCCTCCAGCTGCACCACCTGCTGCTGTTGCTGCTGCAGCTCCATCTTGGAGATACGTGTCTGACATGCCTCCAGTGCTTCCTACAGGTCAGAGACAAAACTGTCAGTGAAATAGCTGTAATGACAAAGTAGACACGTGTTCATTCCAGTGAGGCTTACCTGAATGTCCCTTGCTCTTTCATAAGACTGGTAAGCAATCTTCTCCTCCATGCTGGCTAGTTCCTGTTTCAAGTTCAGAATTTCATTCTGGTGCAGTTCTGTCAGGTCATTGAGTTGTTCCTCTAAACGTTCACACCTGCAAAATAGTGAAAACAAATGTACATCAAAAACAGAAACTTTTCTTCCACCCATACAGACCTACTATTCTACAGTATAGAGGATATGATATGCTACCTGTATCGTTCCTCTTGCAGGGCTTCCATGATCATTGTATAGTCCCGCTGATAGTGGGCTTTTAAGTTTTCAAAGGACTCCTCAAGTCGACCTTGGTTTTCCCGGAGCTCTTGGATCTCATGCAGAACGGCGTCAAAGCCTGAGGCCTGGGCATGATCAAGGGTATTGCCCTTGGAACTAGGGGGGCCTCCAGGAGCTCCAGTAGTGCTATTGGCTCCTGCAGAGCCAGATGTACCGCTAGAACAGTCTTCATCACTGCCAAACTTTGGGCTGGACTGCATCTGTCCTGTCCCAAGGGTCCTCGTTGCCCCAGAGCCAACACCCTCATCTCCCTGGGTTTCATCCAAAGAGTCTTTCAGGGCTGCAATATTATCAGCGCTGCCAAACTTGTTGCGGATGAGGGAAGCAATTTCTCTAGGCTTGGACACCACAGCTCCAGCTGCAGAATGAGTGGCTTGAGAGAAACTGGAGAAGCCGCCTGTCACCTGTAATCAGCAAGATCGGGTCAATGCTCTATGGCCCTGTTCAGAACTGGCATTTACATGCATCTTAGGTGATCCGATCACAAGTGGTCAGCTCTGGACGCGTCAGATCACACCTGTCTCAAGAGACCACTTATGATCAGATCTCAATTCCAAGCTTTATATGCAAATAAACCAATCTGACAGAAAGGTCCGTTGTCAATGTGTGAGAGAGAGACAGCGAGAACAGGACAAGAGGGGTTGAGCGAATCTTTGCACTGTGCACAGCTCTACAATGAAATAAAGTTTTATCGATCTGAAAAAGTAAAAATTTTCGGTTCTTTGTGAAACTGTGGCGAGACTAATCAGACTTTGGCAGAGGACGTCAGTAGAGTAGGCGGTCCTTCAATGTGGCCCAGGACGCATTTGCGTTCACACTGCTAAAAGAATACGGACACATGTGGCCCAGACCAGCTCTGAATGTGGTCTCAAGTGCGTCCTCAATGCTTCCTGGGTGTGTTCACACCTGGACTTGCAGCTGTCCACTTGTGATCAGATCACCCAAGACGGACATTAATACCAGGTCTGAACAGGGCCTATAAACCATCTGCGTTAACCACAGTAAACACGTACAATAGGCTGAA